TATATACAAAAAAAAAAAAAAAGTGTAACAAAGACCAAGTTCTATTTTTATTGAAAGCTAGCTACTACTGACTCTATACTTTCTCAACCTGTTGAAGCACAAAGAGTCAACACCGCCTCCACTAAAACTCAATCTCATGACCAATATGAGAGAGTCACTACATACCACCCAAGCACAAAGTGCTTGGCTTTAACAATAATAATTCTTACATACTATCATATTATGTACATTTAGTTTATTTATCTACAATTCACATATTATGAACATAACAGGCACATAATATCTTAATTAAAGGTACATATATATTAATTGCATGTACATAACCTGGACCTAGATCTACAATGCGCATCCTGTGGGTTGCCGTTCACTTGTTTTCCCCTATAGGGGGCATTCACTTCCCTTAAGACATCATCATAAGCTCACGGATAAACTTCCTCAAGTCCTCTATTGACATTCAATTGACTAGTAGTGTCCAATTCTCTCATACACAATGGTAATTTACATGAGGCATGACCAATCACTTTCTCACTTAAGCTTGTTTTTTAACCCCTCCCCATTTTCAGTCACGAATATTTATATGTCGTTGTTTTACGAGTCACCAACTAGATTAATGGTTTAAAAATTTTGATTATAATAGGGAGAAAACCTAATGAGCCCTAGGGGCATGGTCTAATAACAATTAAAGTGGGGTAGGTGGGCTTGGCCAGAGGGGAACCCATTTAGGATAGTAAATGTGAGTTTTTTTCTAGAAGTGAGGACTTAGGCGTTTTTTATAGCATAGAATGGAGCAAAACACGTGCAAATGCAAAGAGGGAAGACGAATCGAGGGGACTGGGAACCGAGGGTGTTGGCCTTGGCCTCGACTCTCGATCTGCCCCAGCATCGACCTTGGCTCCGAGTCTGCCTAGACTAGCTTTGATGCAGTGTCGCAAGGGCTTCTCACACCTGTCCGGATCGATCAAGCCATCCACCAGCAACCAGATGGCTCGCGCCTTGTCCAACTGGTCGTGGCAGACCTCCTAGGCTCGACCAATGGAGGGGCGGGGCGGGGAGGGGGGGGGGGGGGGGGCAACAGGGTGATGCGGACCTCGATCGTGTCTTGTGACGTGGCACGTGGAGGATTGTTTGGCAAGAAAGTTTGGCACCGAGTAGGAAAGCACACGTATAACTAGGGATAATGGAGGGTTGTGATCCATGCACTTGTCCAGTTCAAACCATCATCAGCTCTCTGCCTCTTCTCTTTGACTTCTCTCTCAGTCAATTGCACAGTTCACCATTTGCACCTACGAGTCAATTAGTCACTAGTAGTCCACTAGTATGTTGGTTAGGTCACTTGTGCCTAATTTTCTACTTTATTTATTTATAACGTACGATTGTAGCCCGTTTACTTTATTTCAATGATCTCGAGCCCTATTAATTAAATATTATTTTTTTGTCCGTTCTCAAATATTAACCCGATTTTATGGTGGAACCAGTCCATTCAAAACCATCAACAACCAAAGCAATTCAATGTCAAACATTGTATATAAGAATGTTCATCAAAATTTGTAAATTTTTACTTTAGTATGTTATTGTAATTTATTATTACACATTTTAATATATTCCTCATCTTTCTATTTTCTTTTTCAACTTCATGGTAGCATATTGCATGTTCGTCAACATAATTCTATAGTGGCATACTTTATACAATAAATTCTAATATCTTTGGATGAACTAAACCCTCCACTCATACATCAGAGCCCACCTTGCATTGTGGACCTTCCTCTAAAACGATATTCAGATTATGTACCTTTAATTAACTGGTTATGTAAATGTAAATAAACTGAAGGTACATAATATGTTAATTTTATTAGGATATTGGTTCAAATACGAACAGTGCTTTTCGTGCGGACGGTGCTGATTCACCGTTAGATATGCAAAAATGCACTACATAGTGTCTGAAAATACACCACAATGAAATGCACCAACACACCGCAAAATGCACCACACAACCAAAAAAAAAAAAAATACCGCACCTAATGGTGCATTTCCAAACATTATATAGTGTATTTATGCGTGCCTAATAATGAGTGACCGCACAACCGCACGAAAAACATTGTACACATTAAAACCTGACTTATTTTATTAGATACATAATTTATTAAATGCATCTACCTATATAATTTGGATTGAGTAGGTCTATCATGCGCAGGGTCCACAATATAATTTGAACCTAACTCTCTCCTGCATCAACTGGATTTTGTGAATTGTAATTAATTTTAGTGATTCATATAGAAATTTGAGACGAGTAATCCACGGGAATTATTGTTCCTTTTGACTCCTTACTGTCTTCTCTCACTCTAACCAATTTTGTCCGGGAATGAAGATGACTCGACTCCACGACTGATTATTAATTAGCATAGAACATTGATTTCACAACACATGTTTAGAGTCAACTACCAAAACATTAATCGCCATTTTTTATTATTTTTTTTGGCAAATATATGCTTAAATTACTCTTGATTTTGATGCTGTTCTAATTGCATTCAAATTAAGCCTAGTTCTAGAATAATGGGTACAGTTCATGATTACCGCAATATCATTTATTTCACATTCTTAAATGTCTTGACTAATAGTTAATTCCAAATATGACTTAACGCACACAAGTTGTTGCCGTTACGTGAAACACAAATAAAATGTAAAATATTTTATTTTATTTCAATTAAATTAAATTTATTTTTAAACCAAACGATAAAAAGTATTAATTCGAATTAAAAATAAAAAAAAGTTGCAAATACAATGAATCGGTGAAGAAACCAAACCCCCAACCATGATTAGAAACCAAACCCCCAACCATGATTAGAAACCATCATCCTTAATAAGTGTCTGAATTACCTAATTCATTAATCTTCTATCATGCTGATTAGTAACATTATTAAGTGTGTGTTTGGTTTGCACATGAGAATCAGAATTGGAATGGGTATCAAATACTTGATAATGATAATGAATTTTGGTGGAAGTATTTTGCATGTTTGGTAGTATAGTGGAATGTGAATGATTTGGCTAAGAATGAATAATGGGATGAAACCCTTATAAAATAAGGGAATGAGTTTTTCCATTAATGGGTATTCCAAATCTATAGTAACGTTTTAAAAACCAGTTAACCAAACAATAATAATCACTTTCATATCCATACATGAGTGTTAAACCTACCAACCAAACACACCCTAAGAGAATATAACAATTCTGATCTAAACAATCATAAATAATAAAATATGTATAAGAAAAATTTATAATTTTACTATACAGGGCTAGACAAACATCACAAAATATTATAAAACTTTTATTTAAAATGGCACGAATTATTATCAAAAAAGTTTTGGAATATCGCTTGGAGATATGATTATCTTTAATAATGATTGTATTTTGATCCAGAGATAAATGGGTATTCATTAATCACACGTTGAAACAGAGTATCGAGAATTAAAAAGAAAAATAAAGTAATAATTTCACTACTTAAAGTGATTCAGAAATAATGATTCTTTTATATGTTGTATAAAGTTCAACAATAAAATTAGAAAAAATGAAAAGTATAATTACAGCTTAAGTGGGTCACGTGATCAAATTAATTACAATAATATATAGTCAACATATAAGATGGGTACTGTCCATTTGTGCGCAGCCGTTACTCCCATTGGGCGGGGTACTCCGATTGATGTTGAAAAATAATTTGTCAAAATGTAATATTAATTAGAAATAAATTTTTTGTTAGGATAATGTTATACTTTTAAGGAAAAATGTAATACTTTTACATTACGCTTTAAAAGTATTATTACATTTTTCTCAAAAAATATTATATTTTCTTTTATAAGGAGTACTTGCCAACATTATTTATTATTGAAAATGTAACACTTTTGATGGAAAATATAATACTTTTACATTAAAATGCAAAAAGTATTACATTTTTCTCAAAGTATTACATTTTTCTTTATAAGTAATAAGAATTTTATTCTCGATTAGTATGACATTTGAATATATAAGTACGGCATTTGTGCAATTGTGCGTATAAATATGACATTTGCATGTTGATTTGACCAGACCCTACCTGTCTCACACAAGTGTGACCCTTTTTGTTAAATTATTTTTAATCATTAGTCAATGAGGTATTTATAGTTAATTTTATAATATAATAATTTAAAATAATTTATGTTGTCGTTATATTTTAATTAGTGAAAATTGATTTTTTTAACCTTTGAATAAAAATAAATGTCATTTTCCCTGTTAATGGTATAAGAGTTCAACTCGGGTGCCATCTAAGCACAAGGTGCTTGGCATAGAAATGATAGTTTAATTGTTTTATTTATTCTTTTCAAAAGGTTGAACCCCAACCCTAAGGGCTCCACACACCCCTGCCCGACAGAGCATCTGAGATTATGTAAATCATGGTAACTCAACTGAACATGAACCACAGAGGCTAGACCTTTGCTTACTGCACACAAAGAGCCCCTCACATGGTAACACAATTGTTTTATTTATTATTTTTAAGAATTAAGGCTTATTAATTTAAAAAATTAACTTAAGTAGAGTGCATTCTCTCAAAATAAACTTTTCCACTTTTAATCTCACCAATGAGAAAATTGTATGGATTTTTTCTCTGGTCAAATTAATTTTAAATTTTTATACATTAGTATTGAACTAAATGTTACAAAAAAAAAAAGGTGAAATGTAAATAATTTAAATTAATCGGCGTTACACATCAAATTAAATAGAAGGGGGACCGGGGGAGGGGGTGGGGAGATTGGGGGGGGGGGGGGAATGGGGGACGATGACGAGGAAGGGAGCGTAAAATTTATTATCGAGTCAAGTTGACATTCACATTTTTACTATAAAAAGAGCACATATTCAGTATTATCATCAGTTCGTTTTCTCTCGAAAATATTTTCTTTAGAAAGAAAAGCTACTTCTTTGTTTCCCTAATAGGCTTTCTCAATTTCCTTTACATATTTCTTCAAATCTTCACAATGTGGAGATTACCAGAATACCAAATCAATAACCCTTATGTTAACATTCCAATGGCTTCCCATCATAGGGTAACAAATGGTATACATGTGCTACTGTCTGATCATGACCACAAATTTCTTGCATCAACGGTTGAGATGCTCAAGCGACATTTTTACAAAGGTATATATATGCTTTATTCATGAATTTCATTTTTATTTTATCGTGAGAGTAATTCTTTTTTTTTTTTAATCTTTACATAAATGAAATGATAAAATTGTTTCCATGTGAAATGAACTTTTTTTAGCAATTTATGGACACTAATTAAATTATTTTTTTAATGTTTTATTGAGAGGTTTTTATATTTTCTTGAAGTAAAGTTATCATCTTGCTTTCGTGGTTTTTTTCCATTAACTTCATATCTGACTTTGACGATGAAAATCTCTCCGTGATATATATGTCGCCATATGTCAGTTTATTCTGAAAACTAGTTTCACTCGGAGTTGAGACATGTTGTTTCGTCATTAATTTAGTTACGAATTACATTCATAGTGAAATTCATCAGTGTTTATGTGTTTTCTTGTTGTGTATGATAATTAATTTTATCGTCATTATTTTCCGTTTGACTCTACCGAAATTTGTCTGTAACTAAATCTTTGATTTTTGAACCGCTAATAATATCATTTTAATTTTTCAAAGATTCAAAAATTCTTAATTAAAATTTGCTAAAAGTAAATACCGAAATAATAAAATTCCCTTCATATCATTCATGTGGTGTTGTTAGTTTTTTATTTTTTTATTTTTATTTTTATATACTTTTTATGAGTGAATACTTCCAATGGTCTTCCGAGTATTATGGTATTACCAGTTGTGGTCTCTCAACTTTAAAATGACCAGTAGACATCCTACTAGATTTAAAAAATAATCACCCGTGGTCTCCCATTAGCTTTTCGATCTGTCTAAAGGGTGTTAAGTGGGGGAGGGGGGAGGGTGGGGTGGGGAAGGTGTCCTTTCACCTAGGGTTTTCACCTTTTTTCCTAAAAACCCTCCCTGCTTTAACGTAGAAGGAACCATGAAAATAATGGTGAAAGGACACTTTTGTCCTCCCACTTAATGCCCTTTTGATAGAAAAGCTAATGGATAACCACAAGTAATTATTTTTTAAAACTAGTAAGACATTTATTGGTCATTTTAAAATTGAGGAATCAAGACTGATAATACCTTAATAGGATCCTTGAATGTATTAAATCTAATCTTTATATATGCATGTTGGCTACATTTAATTCATATAATGACTTAATTTCCTCTTATAAAAAAAATTAATTAGATTATTGTTTCCTGTTAAGATATTTTCCTAATTATTAGTTGTGGGGCCCTATCTGGGACAAAAACTTGGCATAAATTTTTTTATTAATATATTCTAAATCTCTATTGGAAAATATAAAAATTAATTTACGAATATGTATGTGTATATGTTTGTGAATTATATTAGAAAAGCTTTTGAAACTGTTCATCGTTTTGAGGCATATATACATTCCATATTAGATGCGGGCCCCATAGTTAACCACCGATTTCGGTTATAATAAAATAAAATTATTGATTTAGTCCTCAACTATCATCCTTATCAAATTAAGTCTCCAATTTTAAAAATCTTACTTAATTTCGTCCTCCATTATTACCTTATGACTCAAATTGACTATCATTCTATGACTTAAATTGACGAAAGGACGAAATTGGATAAGATTTTCAAAGTTGAAGACTTAATTTGATAAGAATTATAATTGAGGTCCGAATCAGTAATTTCTCTATAGGTAAGGGACCAAATCAGTCATTAACTCTTTTAATTTTTATTTTTTCCCTTTCCCTATACATTTTTACACTTTGATTTCCAAGTTTAAAATAATTGAATATGATTTTTTAATTATTAAAAATGTATTACTTTTAATCCTAATATAATATATAGAACTAAAGGTGTCACATTTTATTAGTTGGAGGCTTGACCATATCTGGTTAAGATTAATTATAATTTTAATGATAACAAGTAAAAAAAAAAAAAAAAAAAAACTAGAACTCAAATTAACGCTTTTAGATTTGGAGGACTAAAATGCAATTTTGATCCCTCAAATATTACATTTCTTTTTCTTTTGAATTTTTAGTTTAAAATCAACCAAATTTGACTCTTCAATATTGAAAATATGCCGGTCAGTCTTCATCTATAAAATAAAAAGGGGATGGTCAAATAAGTCCCCAGTCTTTACTTTAAAAAAATTAGCCTCCTAAATTTTTAAAAAGTGTAATTACATCTTTTAACATGTTATATTGAGGCAATGAAGTCCAAAAACTGGTTTGATAAGTCATTAAGGTCCATCATCAATTTTATCCATCTCCTGCTAATTTTCATATTATTACCATCACCATCACCGTATATATGATTTAATTTCAAGGAAAAACAATGTTGTGAATGATGTTTTCACAAATTTAGAATTGATTTTATAATTTTTGTGTTTCTACTTTCTAGATTAAGTAGCTAATTAATTTAACTTGAAAAATAAATAATACATCTATATATTTGTGAGTGCAGTGACAGTGGTGGATTGTGCTTCTGATGCACTTTCAGTCCTTTCCCAGAAAGAACAGAAATTCGATGCTGTGATTGCAAACATTAATTCACCTGATATGCAAGGGTTTAAGCTTCTCCGCCAGGCTGTGAGCATGGATTTGATAGTAATCTGTAAGTAATTAATTTCTTCAATTCCAATTTAATTATTATTTCTTTGAATTGAATAATATATATATGTATATGTTCCTGGACTGGATCCCTGGAATTGTTGAATGCAGTATTGTGTGATGAAGAAGAAGCAGAGATGGCGGTTAGGCTTATAGAGCACGGAGCCTTCCTCCTCCTGCAAAAACCAATGTGTCAAGAGACGTTGAAGAACTTGTGGCAGCATGTTGTGAGGGAAAGGAATTTGCAAAGAGGAAAGGAGATGATGTTAATGGAGAAAAATAACAGGGAATTAGCTGTGATCAACAATGGCGGGGGCGGGGCTGATAGGGGTAAGGGAGTGAGGGTGGAAGAAAATGAGAACTACGAGATGAGCTATAGGGGGAAGGGGAAGAGGACTCGGCAGCAGCAGAGCTTGAACGAGTCAACTCAGATGATGATGAATCCGGGCTTGGCTAGGGTTAAGCGGAAGACGTGCACGGAATGGACTGTGGAGCTTCATGAGAAGTTCATGAATGCTGTTCATCAGCTTGGAGATGGAAGTATGCGTAATAATTAATTAATGTTTCAATCTCTGTTTAATTTATTTATACATGATCGAATTGCTTGAATCTTCATTATATATATATATGTGTTTCAATCTCTGATCTGTTTAATTGCTTGCTGGATGAATATTGATTGAATGTTTAATTTGTGTTTGATTGAATTAGGGTGTTATCCGAAGGAAATTCTGGAGCTGATGAATGTGCCTGGGCTAACAAGGATGCAAGTCGCAAGCCATTTGCAGAAATGCCGCAATGATAACTGGAGAGCTCCGGAGGAGCGAAGAGCTCCGCCGACGTCCAGCGCGTCGCTGGCGAGTGAATCCGCGTCCAGAAATGAGCAGCGGAGGTTCGGTACGATGCCCAGGTTAACCGCAGCTGCAGCTGCAGCTGCAGCTGCGGCGGCGGCGGCGGCAGGGAACTCCCAGACCGAACGCCAACAGCTGGAAAGCACCACCTCGCCGGAAGTTCAGTCCTCGCAGTCCAACGGTTCGGGGAGAGGAGACAGCTCCCAGACCCAAATTCACCGCCAGTATCTGACCATCGGAGACGTCTCCAAGCTCGAATCCTCTTCTCCCCCGAGCATCGTGCGCCCCGTCGCCGCCTCCACCTCCGCCGCCGCCGCCGCCATCGCCGCCGCCGTCGCCACCTTCGACGCAACGTCCGGCCAAGCCTCAATTGTTGGGAGCCTTAATTACGGCAGCGGAGGAGGTCTGCAAGGACTCGGTGGTGGTAGTGGTGGCGGTGGTGGGAGTTTGTTCGGCAACAAAGACAATTTCTCTGATAACCCCAGCAACACCACCACCGGTGACGACTCATACGCCACTCCCCCACCGCCCCGCCTCCGCACGCTTCAGTCGGAAGAATTCTTCACCTTTGACGTGGATTATGAATATCTGATTAATGGTTTCCCCGACAACAATGCTCGTCAGGGAGGGGTTGGACTGCAGGCCCCTAACCACAACAACACATCCTTCAACATTGGGCAGGTCAGTATTGAAATTCTTTACAAGACAGTATCTGTTCATTGGGCATTATTTCATTTTACGCAAAAAAAAACTAGTATATATGTACACATACGCTGCACGTAAAAAAAAAATTATAATTATTTTCATTTATATATATTTCAATCTAATTTGTAAAGTAAGATATAGTGATTAATAAATAATATATACTTGTGGCAGAGGCAGGAAGCTAATAAGGCCCAAACTTCAGAGATGATGAACGTTGCAAAGATGAGTCCTTGAAGACTGCATCTGGAAGCAACGGAAGATAATAATGAAGATGACATGCATGCATGCATGCATGAATAATCTTCTTTGATTCTCTGTTTCTTTGTTGTTTAATTTTAATTCCTGCAAGACATTAGCCAGCAAATGGCAGTTATGTTTTATAATTTGCTGTTGGTAATTCTGCTCAATAACATTTACTTGTTGTAATAATATTATGCACTTTGGTGGAAAAAGTGCAGTTCTTGTGTTTTATTCTTTCTCGTTGCATGTTTGATCTTTCAGTGGAGTTTGGGTCAAGTTTGTGTTTGATTGAAGTTGGTGAGGAAGACCAATGGGGATTTTGTGTTGGCTTCCTTGCCGGTTTCATGAGTCTCCGGCGAATGGCCGGCCAGTTTTGTTGATAATGTCAATTATATTGAACTTGTATCAATTGCAAACACTATAAGAGTAGGCAAATTATTGTATGGATCATGGTCCACATAGTGCTGTGTGAACTAAAACAAAAAATACATTTTTAATATATTAAATGTACATTAGGAGGGTGGTTCTATCTAGGGCCAGGAAAGAAATCCTTCTTAAAAGCGTAGCCCAAGTGCTACCAACATACACCATGAGTATTTATTTCTTACCTGTCACTTTTTGAGAAAGGCTTGAACGTTCCATGAACAAGTTCTGATGGGAGTCCAATGGCAGAAGAGGCGGTGGTATAAGGTGGATTTCCTGGGGGTGTATGTGTGACTCAAAGTGGAATGGTGGCTTGGGTTTCAAGAAGCTAATTAAGCAGATTTAATATGGCATTATTGGCAAAACAAGGGTGGCGCCTGCTGCCGCAAATTATGCCGTGGAAACGTGCTCACCATGCTTGGTGAACACGCTTCCAAACGACGTCGTTTTTGGCGTCGTTTAAAAAAAAAAAAAAAAAACACTGTTCTATTAACGGCGTTAGGAAGGCAGTTATGATCAGACAACTCTTTGCGTTTGATTATTTCCTATTCGCAAATCGCTGAAGGCAATTGTGATCCGACATTCGCGATTCTTTCCTATTCGTGATGGAGGAGACGATGGTTCGAGGAGAAGATTCAACCGATATGATTTCTGCGATTCCAGGTTGCGTTTGATTTTATGCGTTTGATTTCGTTTGATTTATGAGATCATGGATTGTTGAAGATTTAGTTATTTTTATTGATATTTGTTCAGTATCTATGCAGTTTGAATGTTCATAATGGCCGTAAATGTGTATTAGTTCCATGTTTCTGTTATGAATTTTACAAAATGCAATTATGTATTTTCTGTTACAGAGTTATGAATTTTGATACTCTGTTCATGCATGTGATATGAATATTCATAATGTAATAGTAATATGTCCATAACATATTAACTGGTGTGTTACACTGCTTGCATATACTCAGTGAATGAAGATTGTGTTGGTGATTCAATAAGCAATGATCAAGCAGAGTTAAACATTGACATTGATGGCTCGTCTTCAAGTCCAGGTTCTTTTTATTAGTTGGTGTATCATGAATGTTGTTTCTTGTAGGTGTAGGTACTGATTCATGGTGATTATATGCAAATTGAATGTTGTGATTGGTATTAATAATCTGTTCACGTTATGAATTTACAGTTTGAGGTTATGAATTTTCCGTTATGTTATTATGAATTTTCCATATGAGGTTATGAATTTTATGTTATGAGGTTATGCATTTAATGCCATGAGTATCTATGCAACTTTGAATGCTCATAATGTCACAAATGTTATTGATATCCGGTTTTTGTTATGAACTTTCTTATATGATGTTATGAATTTTATTCTTTGTGATTATGAATGTCCTCACATGAGATTATGAATTCTATAGTGTAGCATATTACATTCATTATAGGTGAAATCCACATTCATAGTTTAGTAGTTGGTATAGGTGTGGTTATATTTTTGTTGCAATTGCAGTTGATGAAGACTTGGTGGGTGTTGTAGTAAGAAATGTTGACGAAGCTTTTGAGTTATATAATGGATATGCATACAGAGTTGGTTTTAGTGTGAGGAAAGGCCAACAACGTTATAAGGCATCTACTAAGTCAATTCAGATGAAGAGGTTCTTCTGTGCTAAGGCTGGGTATAAGCAGAAACCAAACAGTGGTGTTAAGCTTTATTCAAAGATTGATATGAGGACTGGATGTGGTGCATTTGTTCAGTTTGATGTGGGGGGTGATGGGATGTGGACAGTTACAAAACACTTGAAAGAGCACAATCACGAGTTATGTTCATTTGGCAAGAGTCATCTGCTTCGGTCGCATAGAAGAGTGGGAAACAATCAGCTTGAATATTTAAAAGACATGAAGAGTAGTGGTGTTGCATTGGCGGATGGTATGAGGTTTTTGAAACATCAGTCAGGGGGCTCTCCATTGGTTGGCTTTACCAACCGCGATGCTTACAATTCAATGGCTTCTGTGAGTTTGAAGTGTTTGGATGGATCGGATTCAAATTCTTTGGTTGAGATATTCAGGAGGAGGCAATCTAATGAGGTTGATTTCTTTTTTGATTTCGAAGTTGATTTGGATGGAAGATTGTGTAGTTTTTTTTGGAGGGATGGTCAAATGAGAAGGGATTATGAGGTGTTTGGTGATCTGTTAGTGCATGATACAACATACCGCACTAACAAATATGATATGATTTGTGGTCCTTTTGTAGGGATGAACCATCATTGCATGAATGTAATGTTTGGTTGTGGTTTTTTGATGAATGAGAGGATAGAGTCATTTGCGTGGTTGTTTAGAGCGTTTTTAAGATCCATGGATGGCAAGTGTCCACAGACTATCATGACGGATCAATGTTCAGCTATGGCTGCTGGCATTTCCATGGTGTTTCCTACATCACGCCACCGTCTTTGCATATGGCATATTGGTGAGAATTCGAAGAAGCATATTAAGGCATTGAGGAATCATAAGGATTTTCTGGATATGTTTAATTGTGTGTTGAAATACACCGAGACTGAAGCTGAATTTGAGGTTTACTGGACAAGGTATGTTATTATGAATTTACATTATATAATTCTGAATTTTCTGTCATGTCATTATGGATTTTCTGTTATGTCATTATGTATTTTCTGTTATATGATTTATGAATTTTCTAATATGAGATTATGAATTCACAGTTATACAATTCTGGATTTCCTGTTATGTCATTATGTATTTTCTGTTATGTCATTATGTATTTTCTGTTATATGATTTATGAACTTTGTAATATGAGATTATGAATTCACAGTATTCAATTATGTATTTTCTGTTATGTCATTATGTATTTTCTGTTACATGATTATGAACTTTGTAATATGAGATTATGAATTTTCAGAATATGAGTAATAAACATGTGTTTTAACCTTTTCAAGATGGTTACAAAATATAATTGTCATAAGAATACATGGCTAGAGAAGCTTTATGACTGTAGGGAGAAGTGGTGTCCAGCGTTCAACAAGGATTATTTCTCCGGGGGTATTTTATCTTCGCAAAGGAGTGAAAGCACAAATCATGCAATTTCTAGGAGGCTGTCCAAGACTGCTGGTTTATGTGATTTTTATTCATCATTTGTGAGTGTTATATCTGAATGGAGAAGTAAGGAAAATGGCGAGGATTTCCGGTGTTCTCAAGGAGTACCCGCCATGATGTTGGATCATGTGAAACTCCTTTCACATGCTAGAGAGGTTTATACAATTGAGATATATTTTTTGTTCGAGGAACAATTTATGAAAGGTAGCTCTTGTTATCAAGAAATGGTGTTGAACGATGGTTGTAAGTGCAAGTATCACGTGTGGCGACCAGACATAGATATCATAAGGCATGAAGTAACCTTTAAGGCAATCAATTTGGATATATGTTGTAGTTGCAAGCTGTTTTCAGAATTGGGAATACTTTGCTGCCACTGCTTACGTATACTTCATGTGCACTGTGTTTCCAGTATTCCCGATAAATACATTCTAAAAAGATGGACTAAAAAGGCTGTTGAGCGTACAAACGTGGACATTACATCTGTGTTTTATAATGGTGGTGTCCCTTCTTCAATTTGGGCTGTTGAGATTAGTAGGAAATTTCAAAGGCTTATTGTTTCTAGCCAAGATAACAGTGTTGCTAGACAATTATGTGATGAAGCCGTTGAGAATGCAAGGAAAAACATTGAAGCTGAGATTGGGGATGTGAACACTGAGGAGGGTGCTGTGTCTTCGTCAAGTGGTATTGTCCAAGACCCCTCAAGCCGGAGGGGTAAAGGTGTGAGAAATAAAAGGAGTAGTAGTGTTATTGAGAAGAAGTACAATGCAGCAAGGGGAAGAAAGAGCGCTGCAAACAAGCTTGCTTCAATTACAAAGGGCTCTGTCCAATCATTGGTCTTGGAAAATATTTCAGAGATTGCTCGTGATGGATATCTTGTACATCCAAGCACCGGGGGTTCACAATTTGTTCATTTTAATAAGAATGTAGACCACGATGTAGCTATAGACTGAGATCATGTTAACAATATGTACTTATGAATTTTATGATTTTTAGATATAGGTTGAGAATTATGTGTCAGATTATGAATTTTCCTTTGCCAGTTTATGAACTTTCATTTACCAGTTTATGAACTTTCATTTACCAGTTTATGAACTTTCCTTTACCAGTTTATGAATTTTCCTCTATGTGATTATAAATTTTCCTCTATGTCTCAGATTATGAATCTTCCTTTATCTGATTATGAATTTTCCTTTATGTGATTATGAATTTTCCTATATGTGATTATGAATTTAGAGTATGTGCTTATGTATTTTATGCTATTCAGATTTTATGAGAATTATGTGCCAGATTATGATTTTTCCGTTGCCAGTTTATGAACTTTCATTTACCAGTTTATGAACTTTCCCTTACCAGTTTATGAATTTTCCTCTATGTGATTATGAATTTTCCTCTATGTCTCAGATTATGAATCTTCCTTTATCTGATTATGAATCTTCCTTTATGTGATTATGAATTTTCCTATATGTGATTATGAATTTAGAGTATGTGCTTATGTATTTTATGCTATTCAGATTTTATGAGAATTATGTGTCAGATTATGAATTTTCCTTTTGCCATTTTATGAACTTTCATTTACCAGTTTATGAACTTTCCTTTACCAGTTTATGAATTTTCCTCTATGTGATTATGAAGTTT